ACCGAAAAAAAAAAAAAAAAAAAAGCAAACAGAAAAGTTAATTTCTCTAAACGTTACTCTCTGTTGGTTTTTTGAACACTGACACATTAGGCATAGAACCATGAAGATGAAGTCATCGTCTTCTTCGCTCTCACTCGGCTCAAAGACTCATACTTTCGGCTGTATCTCTCTGTTTCTTCAGAAACTTCTCTGTTCCGGTGCCTCTTCTACGTACCCGTCTGATCAAATCACTGAACCTGGTTTCGAGTCTCCTGCTTTCTCGTCTGAACCAGATAGAGTCAGAGGAGGTGAGCCAGGAGCTGTGGCGAGGCTCATGGGTTTGGATTCTATTCCTATAACTGACAAACCCAGAGTTCTCTCAAGGAGCCGATCGGTGAATTCTGATGATTATGTCAAGAGGGATGATGATGATGCGATTCAAGGAAAGCATAGAAGAGTCAAGTCCACTATGGATTATGTTGAGTTTGAAGATGACAATTTCTTCATTCTTAGTTTCGAGAAGGATAGGAATGATAAGGTTCTTGGAGAGCTGAAGCAGCTGGGAACAAGAAAATGTAAGAAGAGACGAGAAACTAGAGAGAATCAAACACGCATAGAGGGTAAAGAGAACGATATCATTGCCGTGAACGTTTCACCAGGATGCAAGAGGCTTGAGACAGGAGAACTGAAGCAGCGTAGGAAGGAGAAACGTAAAAACATGAGAAAAAGAAGAGAGATTGAGTTGAGACAGAACATCAAGAACTATGGTTGTTGGTCAAGAGATGGAGATTTAGCCAACTGTGAAGTGAAATCAATGAAGGAGGAAGAAGAGTGTATAAGCTGTGATGACTCGAGCCCTGTCTCGGTTCTTGATTATGATCGAGTAACTCCGGAACCAGGTTGGTAACTCTTCATATTCAAAATTGAGTCAGCTTTTTGGTATACTTTTTCTTGTGTTAAAAGCATATTTTGTTCCCTTGTAACAGAGACCACTTCAAGAAGACAGTTATCTTCAGTACTCGAATCTAGTAAGAGCAATGAAACAGTTCAAGAAGATCACAGCTCAAGAGAGTCTGAAATCCCAGTTCATGGCAACCAAGAGATGTGGCTCAAGATTTGTAGACTCACTTTATCTGAGCTTGAAGAGTCAAATTGGGTTTACAGAAAAGCTTCAAAGCTCGAAGAAGATTTGGAAGGAAACATAAGAGAAGATATAGCCTCAAACATCTTAGATCAACTCTTAGAAGAAACCATTACAACACTTTCCCTAACTTCACTAGTGTAAAGTTATTTTCTATCTTATTCAATAACATTAAATACTTAACATGTTTGCTTTCATCAAACACAACTCTCAGTAAACATTATATTATAAAGGAAATTGATTAATAATATGAAAAGAATCAAGGAAGTGAGGTGATTTAAGGTTTCTCTTTTGGTTTTGAAACCTTAATCAACCTCTGTTTTTTCTATAGAAACAGAGAGAGACAAACAAACTCTCTTTTAGTCCCCAAGAATTTTTTTTATTCTTATTCTAAAGAAAGAAAGAAAGAAACATTTAAAACAACAAATGTAATAAGATTAGCAACGACCTCTTAAGACTCTTTCTCTTCTGCTTCTTGTTAATGATGATGTTTCAAAACTTTGATATCAAGCAACGGTCTGTTCTGTCTCCATGTATGACTGCTCCATCCAAACCGGAGCTACCCTCGTCTCCTGTGGCTCTTTCACCAACGGCTCCACCCAAGAGACATCTGGTTCCTCTAGCTCGGCTCCTTCCATATGCATTCTTGATTCAATGCTACCAGCTCTGAGACGGAAAGAAGTAGAGTTCCTAAGCTCTTGTAACTCATCTCCATTGACACTCCAGTCAAGTTTTCCATCCAACGAGCCCCAATCATCCAGACAAGTAGGAGTCACGGGATGGTGTTGACTGTTGCGTTCTATGAAGCTCTGGCTTCTCTGTTTAGCAAATGCAGCCGCTCTTGAATCCATTGAGAACTGATAATTAGCTCCCACAGGTGATGACGAGAGACTGTTAGCCCCGAACATATCACTTAAGCTATGAACCGGGCTTATTCCTCCACTCGCAAGCCTGTTCATACCATTTCCAGAGAAAGGAGGTGAAGCAGCTGTGTTGTTGTTGTTGTTGTTGTTATTCCATCTACCTGGAGAAGAAAGGCTTTTATGAATCTCCTCAGAGAAATTGATCTCTCTGGCGTTCAACGCGGACTTGAGCCTGCTCCGTGGAAGATGCAACGTAGGAGGGGAAGCGATAGGCCAGTTCATCCACGGCTTCCCGCTACCTATAGGAGAAGGGACACCGTTAGGACTCAAAGGAGGTGTGGTTAGTACAACACCGTTAGGACTCAACGGAGGAAGTGGACTTATCGGTCCCATGTCAGAAGAGAAGGAAGACCGTGGAGAAGGAACACCAGAGCCTGTTGAAGGATACAAAGGACGTAGCTCATCAGGTTTGTGCGCAAAGAAACAAACTCTTCTCGAGCAATTCGTCTCGTCCTTGCAGAGACGTGTCCTGTACTGAGCAGGGTGAAGCCAGCACTCGAAGATACCGTGTGCATACTCGCAAGAATCGCCTCTAGAGCAAGAACCTTTACGGAACTCGGGGCAAGGGACACAGCTGTAATGATACTTACGAGGATCACGCCTCCTCGCGTTCTCACCTGGATGAACGAAAGGACACTCGGTCCAATCGTGTGAGTATGCTCTGGAACATGGTTTGATTTTGAACGCGTACATACGGAACTCATCTGTTCCGTAGATACCGTTCTTGATATCGGGAAGAGTCGGATCAATCGGATACTCCTTCCTCGGAGGCGAAAGGGAGAATTCAACCTCAACCTCTTGCTCTTGCGTATCAGCTTCATTCAAATCATTACTTCCTTTCAACAACCTCTCTAAAACCTTCTTCCTCGAGCTAAAAACAGGACACACACTCGGGAACATCACATCTACAGGCTTGTTACCACACGCATCACGACAATCCGGATCAGCGGAAGCGTTCAGGAGAAGAGTAACGACCTCGAGGCTATTCGCGGACAAGCCGGAGACCGCGCAGTGAAGCGCTGTTGCACCATCAGAGCCGCAAGAGCGGTTTACATCAACAAGACCGGTGGTGATTATGTAATCAACGATCTCTTTGCTTCCAAACAAGGCAGCGATCATAAGAGGTGTCCTCTCTTCAAATCCCATCTTCTTTGTTCCTAACCTCCTCCCATACCATAAGCCAGACCGATCAATGTTCTCGAGACCCTCTTCTTCAATTAGAGACTTGAAGCCGGAGAGGTCATTGCAGGCTGCTGATTCGAGCAGAAGGGTGAATTTGTGGTGAGACAGCTCATCTTCTTCTCCCATGGCAATATAAATATCTTTCCCGCTTAATTGATCTCACTGTAAAAGTTGAAGAAACGTATTGAGATTTTACGATGAATCTTTGCTTGTGAATGAAGGTATACATAAGCATATACATGAAGAAAAAAAAAACAGAAAGTTTAAAAACTGCAGAAAAGATTAGTTAAAACTATTAGCAGACAGGAGAGAAGGAAAGAGTTTGTTAGTTAAGAGAGAGAGGGATACAAAAGTTGCAACTTTAAACAAAACCAAACCAAAAATAAACACTTAACAGATCCATAATTAACCATTTTTGCAACACTTGAAACTAATCATGGGGAACACGACTCGTTTTCTGATTCAACAAATCAATTAAAAAAAACAAATAACTTAAGAAACGGATAAACCGATAAACAAACAACATGTGTGTACGGACAAGGCAACGAACTATGCAAGTTTACAACTTCATCGTTATTCTCAGATTATAGTAAGTAATCAAAGACAGAAGGAGAAACGTTTTTTTATTTTATTTTTTGTTTACCTCTGAGGAATCTGATCGCAGAAGGAAAAAAAATGCTCTCTCCTTTCTCGACCACCACCACTACCAAAACCGCTCTTCACTTCCTTTAAACTACCCAATTTATTGAAAAACAATTCCAACTTTTTTTCCTCCAATTATTTTTTTTATCCTTGTCACTTTCTTCTTAAGGTCAACATTATAGAAAAAATATAAGACGAAGCTTACACTATGTTAATAAAATAATAATAAAACCACCACCATCTCCATCTTTCTTCTTCTCCCTGTCTTTTTCCGTTTTGTTTTCTTTTTTTTATTTATTTCACTAACTCTTTAAAAAAAAAACCACATTCGATGGGTTCTTTTTCTTTGTCAAAGGAAGCGAGGGTGTACGTGATAGTTGACACAGAGAATCTCACCTCATCGGTTTTGTCACGCTTCACGCGTTTCTCCTGTTTTTGGTGGGATGACGTGGAAACCATGCATCGTCAGCATGTTTTTAAAATGATCTACTTACTTTTTTTCCTCCTCCATTCACGAGCTAAAGCTAAAACGACCGTCTGTGAGATAAAGTTATTCCACAATAGCTTTTTATTGGCTTGTCACCGCCCTTAATGCACGTTAAAAACACAGAATCGGAACCGTCTCGAATGGGTCGATAGCAACTTTTTCTTTTGTTTGAGTTCTTTATAAAATTTATCAATAAGGTTTTACATAATTGAGATAATTATGATTTTTCTGTTATTTTAAGTCCGATAAAGTGGAGAAATTGACCTTTATGTTCATTTGTTTTCGGTCGATAATTCCAACATAAAGAGGATTAGTTAATACATATATTTTTAAATCTCTATAATATTATTTGAGAAGTCAGTTTTCTACGTATCGTGCTCACGTTAACTCTACCGATGGTTGATTACATAGATACCCTTAATGAATTGTTAGATTTTAAGATTATTATTAATTTTTTTTATTTAATTTCTTTTTTATCTTTTTCCAAATAACATATAAAATAAAAAGGAAATATTTCTAAAATTTTAAAACAAATATAAAAACGAAAATATATGCATATAATATGACTTTATTAAAAAGGAAAGTTCACAAAATAGTAATACCCACATTAATATGTATTTTTAAATAACATAAAATATATTTTCAAAATAATAAAAATATATATGTTCATGAGCATTCAAAAATTTATCAGTTACAATTTATTTTCTAATATTTTTTAGAAATCAACATATAATTTGATAAATATTATGAAAATACATGTATATTTAAGCGATATATAAAACTAATTTGACTTAACTAAAATAAAGAGTAAATAAACATTATGAAAATGCATGTATATTTAAGCGATAAATAAAACTAATTTGATTTGACTTAACTAAAATAAAAAGTAATTATATTTCAGTTTCAATTTAAAATATATTTAACTCAATGTACTCACAAAAAAAACGACTCGACTAATCTAATTTATATCCAAAATTAAACATCTAACTACAGTAAGAACATATAATTTTATAATAATAATAATAATAATAATAATAACAATAATAATCTATTTAATTTTATACATATAAATTAGAGGTTGACTCAAAGCATATTAAAAAGAAAAAATAAAATATTAACCGATTACAATTTAATTCTTTTGTAGAATTTAGATATATGCATGAGACTTCAAAATATTATCATTATATTCATTTATGTAATTTTGAATCAAACACTTCAACTTATTATTTATTTCATTTTAAGCACAATATATATTAAGTTATACATAATTTAACTATAATATATTTACATATCTAAGAATATATTTACATATCTAATACAACACCAATGGAAATGAAAATAAGAAATTAATCAAAGTTTTATTATATTTAGAATTAAAATATTATAGCTGAATTCGAAAAAAATAGATATTATCCAATATACCAAATTGATAACCATACCGACTATTGATCCAAAAAACTAATTAAACAAACAATAATACATCCAAAGTCATATGTATAGAATAATATAATATTTATTAATATAAATTATACATACAAATTTATTCAAAACTAAAACTAAATATCATTCAATTATTATAAAGTTTTACTTTTATGAATATTCATACCCGTGCATGAGCACGGAAAATCACCTAGTCATTAAAATATGTCGAAAAAGAAAAAAAAATCATTAAAATATAATAATATATTTTCGGTAATGACTTAGTATTTGAACAAACCTGACCAAACTTTGTATGTTCTGTCCCTATGCTTGTATTACATTAATAATATTTTAATTGATCAGATTAAATATAGTGGTACGTGATCCATGACAATGTTTGTACAAATATATTAATATGTACATACTTATATTCAGATATCAGTATTGGTACATCGAAAGTATATTAAATTGTTTTTGTTGAACCACTGTTTTGTATTGCAATCAAGCCAAATGCAAATGCATGAACCAAACCCATCAATGCTTTTGCAGTGGCATTAACTAAGCTGCTCCACTGAGTATATTCCTCACACAAGGATACTAATATATTACTACTTATCAATCTCTTTGTTTGGATAACCTGTAAAACATAATCGTTTAATGTTTCACAATATCGTTCTCACGTTAAAATGAAAATGATTGAAACTTAATAATATCCTTAAAAATTTATATATATAATTTATTTTATAATTAAAAACAAAGTTATAGATAGTATTCAATTTGAAAATATATTAAGTAATTGATTATAAATTAATATGATAATTGTCCAAATAAATACATATTTAAAATAAAATATTTTTGTAGATATTGATTTTTATTTGGAAATAATATTTTTTATTACGAAAATTTTTTAAAATAAAGATATGAAACAATTGAAAACTAAGTATTAATCAAAAGAAATGTGTATAAAGATATTTTCTAAAATATTTCTAGTGTGTTATTTTTTAACAAAATAACAAGCATAAAAGATTATGATGAAAAATTTGTGATATAGTAATTTAATGTTTGATTTAAATTTTCATAATTTAGCATGAAAATTTTAAACATTAATAATAATAATTTATTATGATGGTATTAGAGTTAATAAAACATGAGTTAATATGATAATTGTCCAAATAAATACATATTTAAAATAAAATATTTTTGTAGATATTGTTTTTTATTTGGAAATAATATTTTTTATTACGAAAATTTTTAAAAATAAAGATATGAAACAATTGAAAACTAAGTATTAATCAAAAGAAATGTGTATAAAGATATTTTCTAAAATATTTCTAGTGTGTTATTTTTTAACAAAATAACAAGCATAAAGATTATGATGAAAAATTTGTGATATAGTAATTTAATGTTTGATTTAAATTTTCATAATTTAGCATGAAAATTTTAAACATTAATAATAATAATTTATTATGATGGTATTAGAGTTAATAAAACATGAGTTAATAAGTTTTCATAAAATAATTATGTCTGCATGCATGGATATAACACCCAATAAAATTTATTTTGTAAAAACCATTTAAACTATATAAAGTTTCTAGAGATACAATTTCTACTAGAATAGACAGTAAACCGAATCTAAAAATCTGAATGAAATTGAATTCAATAAATATAAATTTAAACCTAACTGAAAGAAATATAAATATTGAATGAGTCTTATTTTAAGGTATTCTAAATTATGAGTTTTATTTGAACTTAAACAGATATTTGAAAAACTAAAAAGATCCAAAATTCAAAAAAAAACTCATACCACCCCAAAACTTAATCATGAATAATACCTTTAATAAGTAGATGTTATATAAATAATTAAATCAAATACATAGTTTAATATATATTTTTGATATTTGGTCAAATATTAAAGTTGTATATTTTGACAATTGTATCTAAAGTTTAAGTATAATAGATTTAATTTATTAAGTTTAAAGATTTTTTGTTTTATTTTGAAATTTAAATATTGTTTCTTACTTAATAATGTTGTTAATTGCCAATTTTAGTTTATTGATAAGTGTACACTGTTTAAACTTATCAAGTTTGTGAACTAGAATATATACTTTTTGAGTCACGAAGAAACATTTGGGTAACTAAAATCTGATGTAGTACCAAACTCGAAATTAAAATGATTCAATTGAATTTACGATGCATTACTGTATCTGAAGAAATATGAATCGGATCTAAACGGAAATCTAAGAATAGCTGCACAGGGATCAAATTCCATACACCCAAAAAAACAAGAGTCCGCTTAAATCCTAGCCTAATCCAATCACCCAACCCTAATTTTACTATAAAATATCATTTCATGATAAATAAGTTATAAAGGGATAAATAATATGTTTATTTCATCATTAAAGTCTATTATTTCACTTGACGCGATGTATAACGTAAGATTGTTGGTTTCCCAACCTATATCAATTATAAAAGTTTTGTTATAAGTCACTCAAACTACAAATAAAGATAAAATGCAACAAAAAGAATAATCCAACGGTCAGGATCTAGTCTTGAGGATGAGATATTATTAGTTTCTATTTTTAATATAAAGCAAAGAAAGAAAGAAAAATGTCTAAGTGTACCAATAGAAAAATGGACCCACTAGAGAATCCATAATCTGACTAGAATGAATGTAATGCGAACTATGTTGGGGTCCACGAGAGCGACTAACCATTGCCATTTTACCAGTCGGCATCTGTGAAGACAAAACGAAGGCCTACCCAAAAGCCAAATGGCAGGACCTTAGTGGACAGACCATCTTGACTTTTTATGGTCCTCGAAGCACTGAATCCTCTCTCTCTCACTGGCGGTCAAGCGCTTGTGGGCCATAAAAACAGATAACGACACGAATGCGTCTATACGAGGATAATGACTTGTGTATGGCCCATTAATTTAAACTATATTTGGCCCATTTGTTTGTCTTCTTGATTTACTAAATGATTCAGTTTAAACAGATAAAGACTAGTTCTGGCCCATTGGCTTGTTTTCAGAAACACTTCTAAAACCGGTAAACCAAATAAGCCAGACCGAAATTTTTTAACCAATAGGTGAGTTATTCTTAGGTTCACCCCTTAGGATGAACCTCTATGTTCACCAACCAATAGGGTGGTGTTATTTCATAATTGATATCTTTTTAAAAAGTAAATAGGGATTTTTGCAAATTTGACTCAAAACTCAAAGTCAAACACAAAACTAACTTTTCTTGTTTTTTGATTTTTCATTTGTCTTATTCACCCCATCTGTTCACATTATTTACGAAAATGCCATTACACTTTTCTTTTTTCTTTTTTTGAAAATTGTTTTTTCTACTCTCCGAACCTCATCATCTTCAAGTATTTACA